GAATTTTGGTTGAACGAAGTAGCATTTTTGGGGCATGTTATTTCGAGGGATGGTGTTTTGGTCGACCCATCAAAAGTGAGCGCTATTAAAAATTGGCCCCGACCAAAGACGCAGACAGAGATTAGGAGCATTTAGGGGTTGGCCGGGTATTATCGGAGGTTTGTGCAAGACTTTGCACGATTGGCAAGGCCATTGACATTGTTGTTGAAGAAAAATGTCAAAGTAGTGTGGAATGAATCATGTGAACAAGCTTTTCAAGAGTTGAAACGGAGGTTGATGGTTGCACCAGTATTGGCATTGCCGATAGATGGCCAGGAGTTCGATGTGTATTGTGACGCGTCAAGACGATAATTGGGGTGTGTGTTGATGCAAGATCGAAGGGTGATAGCATATGCTTCGAGGCAACTCAAATCGCATGAAGAGAACTATCCGACTCACGACTTGGAAATGGCGGTTGTTGTGTTTGCTCTCAAGATATGGAGACATTACCTTTACGGAGTTCATTGCAAGATTTACACCGATCATAAGAGTTTGAAATACATATTCACTCAAAGAGAGTTGAATCTAAGACAACGGAGGTGGTTAGAATTAGTAAAGGACCGTGACTTGGATATTTTATATCAAGAAGGCAAGGCGAATGTGGTTGCTGATGCTTTGAGTCGGAAGTCAAGTCATTACGTATGTTCGATGACATTACCCGTAGAGTTGTGTCATGAGTTCGAGAATCTACAAATTGAGGTAGTGGGCCTAAGGTGATTGAAGGATATATGGGTGCCTTGTCGATTGAGCCCGAGATTTTGAGGGAGATTCGGGAAGCTCAGGTTGATGACGACAATTGACTCAACTTAGCAATAAAGGTGCAACAAGGTGAAATAAGCGAATTCCATGTTGGTCGGGATGAAAGTCTAAGATTTCGAGACATATGGTGTATACCAAATGATCGGTTGGATATTAAGGAAATGATACTTAAAAAAGCTCATAGTTCTCCATATTCAGTGCATCCTGGTTGCGATAAGATGTATAAAGATTTGAAAGGACATTTTTGGTGGCGCGGTATGAAAAGAGACATTGCAGAGTATGTTGCCAAGTGTTTGAATTGTCAAAAGGTCAAGGCGGAGCATAAGAGACCTATGGGTTTGTTGAGACCGTTGGAAGTTCCGGAATGGAAGTGGGACTCGATTGCTATGGATTTTGTGACCGGATTACCAAAGTCTAGATCGGGCGCGGATGCCATTTGGGTAGTTGTTGATCAATTGACTAAGGCAGTAGTTTTTATCCCGATAAACATGACTTGGAGCATGCAGAAGTTGGCAAGGTTGTATATCCAGCACGTGGTGAACAGGTATGGAGTTCCGGAGGTGATTGTCTCAGACCGCAACCCCCGGTTCCAGTCGCATTTTTGGCAAAAGCTTCAGAAAGAGTTCGGTACTCGGTTAAGGATGAGTACGGCCTTTCATCCGATGACTAATGGGCAGACTGAGCGCACAATTCAGATTTTGGAAGATATATTGCAAGCTTGTGCATTGGATTCTCAAGGTCGATGGGAGGATCAGTTGGCTCTGGTGGAGTTCTCCTACAATAATAGCCATCAAACGACTATTGGGATGGCACCCTTTGAGGCTTTGTATGGGAGGACGTGTAAAATGCCGTTGTGTTGGAGTGACCTAAGCGAAAGGGTCGTATTGGGGCCCGAAATGATTGAGGAGATGATGAATCAGATTCATAACATCAAGGCTAAGATGAAAGCTGCCCAAGACCGCCAGAAGAGCTATGCCGACCTTTCTCGGAGAGATGGGCATTTTAAGGTGGGTGATCATGTATTACTTAAGGTCTCACCGACGAAGGATGTGAGAAGATTTGGTATTAAGGGAAAGTTGAGCCCGAGGTATGTAGGGCCGTGCGAGATCATCGAAGGATTGGAGAAGTGGTCTACAGATTGGCCTTGCCGGAGACATTAAAGGGTTCACGATGTTTTTCATGTCTCTCAATTGAGGAGATACATGGCTGACCCATCTCATATACTTCATCCGGAAGTCTTGGATCTTCAGAAAGATTTGGTGTACTTGGAGCAACCTATTCAGATTGTGGCCTTCAAAGTTAGATCGACGCGGAACCGTGATATAAGAATGGTGAAAGTAATGTGGTTGCGGCATGGGATTGAAGAAGCGACATGGGAAACCGAGCAAGAAATGCGAGGAAAGTATCCAGAGTTGTTTGAGGTAGCTCCGGGCGTGCAGATCGATTTCGAGGACGAAATGTCCTAAGGGGGGAAGGATGTAATACCCCGTAAAATAATTGCCGGAAGTTTGTCGGAGTCGGGCAAATTTTATTTTGGGCTTTTAGTGTAAGAAATTAAAGAATTGGGTTTAAATTAGGAGTAAAAATTGAGTTTGGGCCAAAGTAGGGTAAAATAATTAATAAAGGCCTAAGTATTTTATGTCTAATAAAAAAAAAAAAAAAAAAAAAAGCAGCAGCCAGCACGCCAGCCAGCGCCGCCGCTAGCCCCCTGTTCTTCCTTGGAGTTCTTCTTCTCCAAAACTCTTCCTTTTGGTCTCTTCTCTTGAAGTAAGTGAGATTAATCTTAGATAGATTGATATGTTCTAATCCCTATACCCCTCTTATTGATATTTTTTAAAAATTATTGTCAAATGGGTTTGTTCTAAAAGTGTTAGGATTTGTCAATTTATTCTAGAAAGTTGATTATAATGTTTATGTGATGATTATTATTGGATTTTAAATTGAAAATTGTAGAATTTATGGAATGTGTTTGAAACCCTAGTTTTGCCCTAACCAAGTTATGGTTTTTGGAAAAGAGATTTACGATTATATTTAAATATTATGATTTTTAGAGTTAGACCATGCCTATTGTAATTGACATATTTTTCGAATATTTATTTGCCGAAATAAAGTGAGATTATAACGAACTTGTTGGGTCTAATATCCTACTTTTGCATAGTTAAATGTTGACAATTGGAATACTTCGAGTTTAAAACACTCTTTTTGAAATTTGTCTAAGAGTATGTTGAGTATTTGGTCAAATTGGTAATTGAAACTACCCGTCGAGTCCGATCAACTTGTCGATTGTTTGGATGATAAGACATAGTCTTCCACCTCTGTGTCTTGCAAACACGTGAGGATATACCGGTATTTTAGGATAACTAGCTAACCTTGAACTAGATCCCGAATGGGTTAGGACGAGAGATCGAGATGGCGGGTTCCCTTTTTGGGTGATTCCGAAGTGCCCGTCATTCACGATGAAAAGGTCTTTAGACCGTCATCCGTGATGGAGGGATGGATTGCGTACAATCCCCTCTTGGTATGTTTTATTGGAGACTAGAGGGTTGTGGGTCATATGGCGCCTCTCGCAAACTAATAATAAATTGATTTACGTGTACTTTGAGTTTCAAACCCTTATGTACATCTCGTGGAGTTTTCCTTGAGGGTCGTGACCCTATGGTTGTTATGTGAAACTATGTGACATGTCATACGAAGTAATAAGGTTGAAAAACCGGGTCAAGTCGGCCCTGATTAAGGCCTAGTGGAGTTTTCTTCGTGATGTGCTCATCACTATTATTTGAGAATAAAAATGAGATATAAGATAGGCGCTAAAAGACTCGTGTGTGTGAGTTCCCCTTATGTGATACGTGTCATCTTATTAAATTATCTTCTTCAAATGATTTCGTGACACTATACCGTATTAATTTATCTTCGATTAATTGTGCTTACTCAACCGTTGTGTTGACTCTCTTCTTATAATATTTTTGTAGGTGATCATGCTTCTATTATACCGAAATGATGCATTCACGTCATATGATCCATCGGGGGAATTAGAACTACTTTACCTTCTACGATGCTTTTGAAATTCATTAATCATGTTTAAAGAATAAGGTCTTTTGAATTATTTTCAATTTATGCTTTTGAATTGAACTTTATCTACTTAATTTATAAGCCGATGCACTTTAATTCTAAGTCTCTATTAGTTGTTGGTATTTATTATTTTAGCCTTAGTACCACAACGTAGGACTCGTTGGTTGATGAACGAGCATTCCGGTGTGGCATGGCAATGACGCTCCGGTTTGAGCCAGACGGGGTGTTACACTCCCCACATCATCATGTCATTCATTGCTAGACTACCACTACGTATCTTCAAAGCATGTGTAGTATCAATTAGGAGCAAGATCGGTGATGAAAAAGAAAAAAAAAAAATTCTCTGTAATTTTCGTTTGTTTTGAATTTTAAATTTTAGATTGAAACTTCAAAATTGAAAAGACTTCAGAGACACACCACATAAGCTTCTTGGCTCTCCTCTCAACGGTTGAAAATATAGAGAATGATTGTGCCCAAGTTTACGGTTTTAGATGACCAAGGTTTCAACGGTTTGGACACATCGAATTTATTTTGGATTTGAAAGCTTTTTTTTAGTGAACAAGCATCGTGTGTGCTACTACTACATAACGTTTTACCGAGGGTTGTTATTTGCAAATATGTATGTATTTGATAGACTAATCGAACAAATACCCGAAATCGCAAACCGTATCTGAAGCGAAAATTTCGATTAACAAAAAATATTTGCAAATAACTCGAACCGAACCGAAATTAAGAAAAAAATATATTAAAAAATAATTAAAATTCTAATTATATAAAAAATATTTACAAATATTTTAAATATTCAAACCGAAATTGAACGGAAACCGAATATAATTATTAATATAATTTTAAAATATAATAAAATAAATATATAAATATATTCGGTTCGGTTAATAGAACTGAAAAAAAATATATCGAAACCGAACTAAACAAATACTAAACATACAGTATTTGTATTCGAACCGAATTTGCTCGATTAATCGAAAATTCGGTTCGATTAAGTTCGATTATGCGGTTCAGTTCCATATTTTTGTCCACCACTAGTTTCACCTGCTGCTGATGGTGGAGCTGAGCTCTCTTATTAGTACCATTTACAAATTACACTAATTTCATACAAAACATAAAAAAGCTACCTTGGTGGAGCCAATCCTCCTGACACCTTACTCAACCAATCTGATGCTGATGCTGCTCATATAGCTATTAGTAGCAACAACTCACAAACAACAACTTCAACAAAAACAAACAGCGCAACCCAACAAAACTTGCCAAAAAAAAAAAACATTGGTAATCTAATTTGTCGTACCTCGTGTGTTCCTGAATGAATTAGTATAAGTTAGATAACAACATCAGCTATTCTTGCTTTGCACGATCTGATGAGCCCGGTTCAGATCGGTTTATGCTAGCCTTGGCATCTGCCAGGAATTTGGGATCCGGCTCATGTTTTTGTGAGGGCTCTTTCATTGCCAAGTAGATGTAGGATGCTATGATGATGTTGACTGAGACCACTGCAACCATCCCACTCCATAGTGTCAAGGACTCGGGAGACAAGTTAGCTGAACCTGTTCCACGCGCATCATGAATTATTCAAATAGCTACTGCACTCCTTCAACATATCAAATTACAACTCAGAGACTGTTCAATTACAAATCTTGCAAGTTATTTGTGTTTCCCAACCATGGCAACCGCCTTTGGTTGGAAAACCCAACAACTTCATTGCATGATGTTATGATTTCCAAGAAAACCGACCAGGGGCTCATTGGGGGTTGTAAATGGGGATAACATAAGAATCCATTTACTCCGGATATCGTATGAGCAGGCCCTAACAAGAGCAGCAGCAAGTATAAATGATCCCAACCGTGTGTACCTAGACGTGAACATCACTGGCTCACTGCACCTCGTATGATGACAAGAAATTTTACAGGAGCCTCTCAAACTACACATATATTCTTGACTACCACAAAGGAGTAGCAATCTCTTAAAATGACAGTTTCAATTAAGTCATGCTACATTGATCAGATTCAGAAAAATAGAAAAACCTCAATGAAATTTGAATGTTTTGAGCAGTGTACAAGTAGTAACTTTTTCAGATCAATTCCAAATCAAACTATTCAGGTTTCATAGCCAACAACATAACATATAATAGGGTAAAAACAAAAGAAGTAAACTCATTTTCTGTATTAAAACACAAACAGCGTTTAAATGAAAGGGAAGCCATGATCATTAGATGACGGGATTCTTACCAGGGAATAGATTATGGTTAAACCCATATATAATCAAAATCGGAGCTGCCCACATAAGCATGGATGCAATGAAGAACTTGCTTACAACCCCCATAGTCAGCTGCTCCGACCTATGAAAAAGTCAAGAAGAAGAGAGACAAAGAAAAGCAGGCGTGAATAAGTTGCATTAAGCAAGCACTGTTATTAAATGAATTGAGAGTCAAGTAAGGCATGTCAACTAAACTAAGCTGTGGATTCAGCATGACCAATGTACACGGGTGGATCAAGAAATCAGCCTCGATCTTATCAATAATGTGAGCAAGAATGCTTAACAAAAGCTTCCATTTTACTTTATTATAAGCAGTTCGACTGATGCTAGCCATGGTTTGAAATTTTGAATACTTGGGCACAAATAATTTTTCCAAGAATTAAAACGACTGCAATTCAATCCGGTTTAGCTAAAAAGCAAGCCTAACTTACCAAAGCATCATTTTTCTTTATTTACTTATTGCTATCTCCCTTCCAAATGTTATATCGAACAAGCAAGTATAAAAATGTTTCTGGAATGATGAGAATGTTGAAGTTACCGAAATTGAGAAGAAACTCGGTGGAAGATGAATTAAGAGGCCTCTCTTCCTCCCGAAATCAAATCTGGCGAGTGACGGGAGGAAATCTGCGATCGATTGAGGGAGAATCTGTAGCAAGACAATCAGACAGACAGACAGAGGCAACACTGCTCGGTGCTCACGCTACGTCAATGGTGGCTGGCCAGTGGCGAGAGAGATCAGACCAGAATCTATAGCCACAACCACAACTGAATTACTACGATAAATGTGTATCATCCAGTATATAGTAGGATTCTAGGACTGTTATATAGTAGTACTCCGTATTATTTATTATCACAGCCGTCTCCGATCGATACGATCCGATGATGTTTATGAGAAGAGAAATTTGCACTGCCGTGCCGTATTGACTGTTTTGCCCCTCCATCCAGAAATAAGGAAACCCTAACCTCCCTTACCTTGCCTGTTACACGATTCTTTCATCCCCACCTCTGTACCCTATTTTTTACCTGCCCAGGTTTTTCTTATCTATTTTAAAAATTAAAAAAAAAAAAAAATTATTTTTTAATATCATTCAATCATAATTATTAATTTTGATTCCATTCAAATATAATTAATCAATTTTAATTCTAATAAAATTTTAGTCCCAGGGCTTGGACTAAAGGTAACCGGGAGGATTGTACCAAAAATGATTTTTACTCTTAAAAAATTAAGATCCCTATCAGTTAAAAATATGTTCAAATTTTTTAACACAAGTTTTAATATAATGTATACTTATGGCTGTTTTTTTTATTAAAAAAAAAAAAACTATAGACAATAGTATTGTTACGCACAAAAAATAATAATAATAATAATAAAAATAAGGATAACAGGATCTTAAAGGAAGTTAGACACAAAGTCGGGTGGAAAAAGAGAAAAATTTGCCCAGGTCGGTTGGTCCGGTCGGTTGGTCCTCGGTCGAATCGGCAGGTCGGAAGGTCCGCGGTCGGATAGGCAGGTCGGTTGGTCCGGTCGGTTGGTCCGCAGTCGGATAAGCAGGTCGGTTGATCCTCGATCGGATAGGCAGATCGGAAGGTCCGCGGTCGGATGGGCAAGTCGTTTGGTTAGCGGGTAGGATGGTCCATAGGTCGGAAAGTCTGCAGGTCGGATGATCTTCAGGTCGGAAGGTTTGCGGATGGAACAACAAGTCGGAAGGTCTGCAGTCGAACCAACAAGTCGCTTGGTTGGGGCGACCAATAAGTGTTTGGTCTAGTGACCAGTTAGTCTCTGAAATGGTCGGACGGGCCAATTAAGTTCTGGAATTGGTAGAAGCGTTTGGCAAGACGGTGTAAGACACGTGTCGACAAATGAGGACCTTGTGGACGGTTGCCTTAATCGCCCAGACGACGTTTTAAAACGTTTCATTGTGGGCGGTTGACGGCGGTTGCTAGCGACGGTTCTGAAACGTTTTCTTGAAGGAATATTTAAGGATGCAGATTTTTTATCTTCAATCATCTTCAATCGACATCACATTCAAAAGAATTGCCTTTGGGGATCACCACTTTATTTTCCTGTCTGTAGTTTTATTTTCCTATTGTATTTATATATCCTACAGTGTTTAGAGATTCCTAATCTCAGACGCTAAATATATCAAATTCGAAGATAATTTCCTATTTTCATATTTTACTTTTTTGTTGTTGAAAAAATACATCAACAATTGACGACCACAGTGGGAGAAAGATAAGATTGTTGATCCTACATCAACAGAGAATTTCATACGACTGAGATTTGGCCGAATCATCAGAAAGATCAATATGGCAGGCTCACAACCTCAATCATCATCAGCACCGGCGGGAGAAAATATTTCACCACCTGTCATGCCAAATCCAGGGGAGATTCCCCAACCACCTACCGATTGGTTGTCTTATGTTCAACAATTGAACAATCAGCAAATTTTGGTTATGCAGAACATGTTGCGTGAACAAAAAAAAAAATCTAATGCAGAACATGTTGGATCAGACGTTCTCTAGATTCACCCTACATTCAAACATGCCTCCAGCCTTGTCACCTTCTCGCTTTCAGGCAACCTTTCCAGGATCAACGTTTGCAGGGCCAACATACGTTGATAGTACGTTTCCAAGCGTCACAACTTTCAACTGAACAGATATGGGGAAGACTCCTCTAACTGTCCTAGATAATGTTCCTTTGGGACCAAGAGTTGATAATACTCAGCCGAATATCGTAAGGGAAGAGAGATTGGGAGGACTGGCTCATAATCCCATCCCAGACGAGCCAACCGTCCCCAGAAAAGAAAGATTGGAATATCAGATTCATAATCTCATCCCAGCCTTCTCTAGGGAAGATTTTCCACCCAGGATAGATTTGGAGGATATCGCTCAAGCGTTGTGGGTGCATTTCGGAATGAACCCGCAAATGGTGAACCGACCGGCGTATCAAAGGTCATTTCCAGAAAGAATCATCAATGAGTATCCTCTCCCGATGAATTATCAACCGCCAGACTTTCATGTTTTCTCAGGAGAAAACGGATCCTCCACCATAGAGCATGTTGGTCGGTTCACAGCACAGTTAGGAGAGATCGGTAATAATCCTTTTTATAAACTGCAACTATTTGGTTTGTCTCTTACCATAACAGTTTTTTCGTGGTTTGTCGATCTACCACCTGGACAAATACAAACCTGGAAAGGTTTGAAAGCGGTCTTTCATGCAAGGTTCTTTATTCCTTTTCCAACAGTCTCACTCACAGACCTTCTGGAGATCAGTCAAATGCCGGAGGAGACCGCCTACCAATTCATAGAGCGGATGCAATTAATAAAGGGACATTGCCCGACAATCATTGAGGAGAGCGAGATGACCAATTTGGTGGTCCGAAATATGCATACACAACTGCGGGAGGCTTTAACGGCCCACGACGTTCAAGATCTGGCCAGTTTAGCATCAAAGGCAGGGAGGTTAGAATCTTTTTTCAAAGAAAACGATCACGACTTCTATCAGGGGGGAGGTGCTGAAGAAATGGTAGTGCAAGATCGACCAACATGGAGGCCAACACCAGTCCGCGATAAATGGAGGACGGGTCCAACGTAGCTTGAAAGATGAAGGTCGGATCTGAGGCTGACGTGGCCTCGGATGACGGCCTGCTAACTCCTAAACATCATGAGAAATGATGCTTAGGAGTCTTGCGGAGGAGGCAAGTTGTTACGCACAAAAAATAATAATAATAATAAAAATAAGGATAGTAGGATCTTAAAGGAAGTTAGACACGAAGTCGGGTGAAAAAGGAGAAAAATTTGCGCTCAGGTTGGTTGGTCCGGTCGGTTGGTCCTCGGTCGGATCGGCAGGTGGGAAGGTTCGCGGTCGGATAGGCAGGTCAGTTGGTCTGCAGTCGGATAAGCAGGTCGGTTGATCCTCGGTCGGATAGACAGATCGGAAGATCCGCGGTCGGATGGGCAGGCCGTTTGGTTAGCGGGTCGATAGTCCATAGGTCGGAAAGTCTGTAGGTCGGATGGTCTACAGGTCGGAAGGTTTGCGGCTGGAACAATAAGTCGGAAGATCTGTGGTCGGACCAATAAGTCGCTTGGTTGGGGCGACCATTGAATCGTCTGGAGAGATCAGATGTTGGTCGCTTGATGGGGCGACCAATAAGTCGTTTGGTCTAGTGACCAGTTAGTCTCTGGAATGGTCGGTCGGGTCAGTTAAGTTCTGGAATTAGTAGAAGCGTTTAGCGAGACGGTGTACGACACGTGTCGACAGAGGAGGACCTTGTGGATGGTTGCTTTAACCGCAAAGACAACGTTTCAAAATATTTCATTGTGGGTGATTGACGGCGGTTGTTGACAACGGTTCTGAAACGTTTTCTTGAAGAAATATTTAAAGATACGGATTTTTTATCTTCAATCATCTTCAATCAACATCAAATTCAAAAGAATTGTCTGTATTTATATATCCTACAGAGATTCCTCAGGCGCTAAATTCGAAAATAGGAATTTTACTTTTTTATTGTTGAAAAAATACATCGACAAGTATATTATCTTATTAAATAAAAAATAAAAATATTTTTAAATAGCAGAAAAATATAAAAGCATATTTCTAGGAGACCTGGAAGTTCGTTGCGTCCATATAAAAGATTGATCTGATATTTTTAGGGGACCAAGAATATGGAAGCTGCACATGCCAACAACTCACATATAGAATAACCTCAAATCCAGAAAATGATAAATAAAAAATTTTAAGAAAAGCCCAAAAAAAAAAAAAAAACAATGTCAAAATTAGGCTTCTAATTCTATGCATCAAAGCTGGCAAACTAAACAAGCTATGAACAAAATGTGATCTAGCTCCCAATTCACTATTTTTGTTTTTTAATTATTATTTTAACCACACACGCACGCTCACAAAGCAAGAAGAAACCATCAATGTTTGTTGATTCGCCAAAGCCGCCGACATTCAAGTCTGAAAGTTGATGGTATGCTCTAGCACAAGGCAGGTAGGAAAATTGTTGACTCAGAGCATTTTATTTCGTCTCCTTTACCTTAAGTGTGTCTAACCAAAGCTTCTTAATATGCCTGCTGCTGTTATCGACAGAATGAAACAAGGAAAGAGAACTAAGGACCTCTTGCCCCTGGGAAGAGTTCTGATATTTTGTTGAATACATCCATGACCTGTCCAGCATAATTATACAAACAAATTGATTAGTGGGGAGATTCAAACATTTGCTTGGAGATGGAGAGCCAGCCACATCGAACCAAAAATGAAAGATTTGTCATTGGTTTAATATCTCAGTCAAATGAATGTGCAAGACTCCTAGCTACATATTATCTCACCTCCTTGTCATTTTGATACTTGGCGATACTCATCGGATTCTGGGAACACTGCATATACATAAGGTAAAACATCAGTTCTCTTAAGCAGCACCAATGTAAACTACATGGCAATTATAGCATGGATTTAGCCCAAGGCCATGTATTTCTGTAAAATGCCTAAGCAAAGCCAAGGAATGTTTCTTACATCCATGATGGCAGCTTGAACTCTTGGATTTTGGAAAGCCATAGCAACCTCTGGATTGGCCATGATTTTTGAAATTACTTCTTCAGGAGTTAGACCTATTTGATCTGTGATAAGCAAACCACACATTTGAAGTGTGGAGTCAATAACCATGGAGCTTACATTAAACATTTTTTTTCTTTGTTAAACCAAATGAATGTGACACTCACCAAACTGCTGCTTGATCTCTGGACTGCTGAGGTCAAAATTCTTTAATGATTCCATCATGCGGCTATCCCACTCAGGGCTACCCCCCATGTTATTTCTGACAATATAAAGCAGATAAGACAAACTACTATAATATATGGTGGAGAAACATTGCAAAGGGAGCAAGTGTGTCACAACAGGAAAGTCATTAAATCAATTAATTTGAACCCTCTCATGCTCTATTTTTCTGAGACAGAAGGGGAAAGCATAAATACAAAACAACAAATTAGATAAGATATTTATTTCATAATAACATGCCAAGGTTCCCATTACCTTTCTGAGAATATAACGTAGATATATGATTATAGAGGATACTCACAGCATGTCTTGAAGCTGTTGACGGTACTGTGGATTTTGTAGCATCCCTATAGCATTACACAATGGCCATTAAGAATTATCATGGCCAAATTAAAACTAGAAATCAAAACAAAACTGTGATATATCTCAATTCACAACTTCTTCATTAAAAAAATGTGAAAAATTTATGAGATCCACATATAACAGGGCAGTAGGTCCATAGGCCAACAGTGACATATAGTGAGCTGCATCTCAGAAAATTTCAAGATTGTGGCATGTTCACTAAACATAAGTAAATTTGCTTAAAAATATGAACATTGACTTGTTCAGCCTTTTCTAGAAACAAGTTATCTTTTGGATAAAGCATCTCAAAAAAGAAGAATCAGCACAGTTCATTAGACTCTGTTGAAACATAATGGGAATATGGTAATGAAATATTGCAGTTTTTATACAAATAAACTACTGAGATCTGAAAATCAAGAGTATCCCAAGACTTTAGTCACAGGTTACTGAACTTACATTTAAAGGTGGTAGGATTCCTCATCTCCTCTGGCAAGTAACTGAAACAGTAAAATCCAATAATAGGTGAGACAAGTACTTTTCTAGCACAAGAATTCTGGTTCTAGTAACAACAACCAGTTAAATGTGCAAATGCTTTTCCATAATCTCTGTACCCTAAACATTTACCCAAAAGTAAGGAGCACACATTAATATCAAGTTTATTTCCAAAGCTATTCATGAAAGACATATCTTCTAACCACAAGCATGACATGAAGTTAATTGAAATCACATTAAAATTTAGTATCACAAATAGTTCATCCTACAGAAGAAATACTTGAAAATTTTTTGTTACACTGGTGCATTATCTACTATTTATGTTAATACCTAACAGATACAGGTATAATCCCCATATGCATGGTGAGATTACGCCCCTACTTCCTAGGACATTAACACAGGTACATTCATTTTGCCGCGTGTAAAAAAATAAAAATGAAAAAAACTTGAAAGAAGCCCATGTCTTCTAATTATGTGAAAGAGAAGAACTTACGGATAAACCATTTTTTGTACTGTTGGGTCTTCCATCATTTTCTCCAGAGCTTCCACTGATAAGAGAGGGCTTGTTTTATCTGTACAATTAAAGTATAAAGAATTTACTTGGCATGTTATATCAGTAATGTCTACTTTGATATAACAAGATTTAAAGAAAATAAGAAAAATTTGTGTCAAAAGCAAGAGCAGCAAACATAAACTTAATAAAACTATGACATAATAAACAAAATCCAGAGTACATGCTAGTAAAAATGAAGCACATCATAACTCGTAGTAATTAATTTTGAACCAATTATTAAGAATACAAGAACAAGCTTCCTCAAAGATATCAATATGCACCGGCACCCACACCCTCGAATATATATATATATATATATATATAGAGAGAGAGAGAGAGAGAGAGAGAGAGACAGAGAGACAGAGAGAAGCATCAAGAACAATGGGACAATATTAAGCCTACCAGCATATATTTTGTGTTCCTATATCAGCTGCAAAAATGCTAAACATTTATCACAAACACTAAAAAACTGTAGTTGGGGTTACTAATGCCCTACTAAATTTATTTCAAATTCAAATTTAAATGAAAACTAAGTTCATAATCATATGCTTTGAGCATTATCACAGGCTATTTGTCCAACTTTTAGAGTGTATTACGGAAAAAAAATTAAATTACAACACCAACAATAAAGTAAAGAGTCAAAATAGAGACTAGGTATACAGAAATATGCTTCATTTATTTTATGTTCAAGTGTCGTTTACAGCTAAATAAATTGTTGCAAGTACAACAGACACAAAGTGGCATTACAATAAAACTTACTAGCGAAGGGACCGTCTGAAGCACCTGTTTCCTGTTTGGTATTTGAGCTGCTTTGGAAAAACTTTTCCTGGTTCGACTAATCAAAATATTCATAATTACTAAGTACTATAACCAACTCCAAAAGAAACGCAGATGAGTTTATCTTACTTGCTCTGGAGACTGGGAGCCATTCATTGATTCTGAGTTTATTGAATCCTTGAAGTTCTCAAAATCATTCTTTTGCAATGTTTCCTCAGGTGATACATCTACAAAAGCTGCAAATGGAACTATTGCTTACTCTGAAGATAAGTTACATATGAGTCTATGACATAATGAAAGAGACTGCAGAAAAAGGCAAATCCAATCTTTCATTAGCATAGATGCCTGTGATTTCTGCAATAAAGTAACATCTATCAAGATCTTAGAAATACCATATTTCCTTGACTCTTTCTCTGGTTCAACTTTATCTTCAACAGCTGGTGATGGAGGTTCCTTGACATTGGTCACAGGTACATCAACAGTCACAGGTTGAGATGCCACAGGTGTTGGGGTTCTAGATGAATCTGAAGGTGGTGTTGCAGTTGGTGGAAATGCGAATGATGAACCAGGTGAATAAGCAGCATTACCGAATGGACTATTTTGTGCATTCATCTGTTGTGAAAGGGTCTTGAAAGCTTGTTCCATTGCATATTTCTGCAACAATGAGAAAATGCAGAATACATCAGAGACATGGAATTGGACACTGTTCTTCTTTAATATGTCAGCCGAAATGCAATAACCCTACATTTTAGATGTTTTCTTCTTATATAGTATGAGGTATACAAGCTTCTAGATGGACTTAACTCAATGTGACTAGCAGAAAGCAGAAAGGGAAAAAAGATCAGGAGATAATATGAGAAAAAACATAGATGCCATTTGGATTTCTTTAACTGAAAACCAGTATGCCATTGCTAGTAATGTCCCTATAAAATCTCCTCTTCAACAGCAATTTGGATTTCTGTAAGACTCTTCATAATGGATTCACAAGCAATTTTGATTCTCAGTTCGGCCACTGCCTAGATGACTAAAAGGCAAGTGTATGATATGATGAGCCATTTTTTTATGTTCAACCATCTTTTCAACTCAAAGAAACGTCATCCCCGTGCATTTGAGGAAAGAATAGATGTTTAATAAGATATCAATTTTGCCTACCTCCCTTTTCAGAACTAAGCACCACTTTCATTTCCGCTGATGTTAAAAGCATCATGTAAAATTCATTAATTTTCAATCTTGCATGTGGAATAGACAAATTAACCTTTGATCACATATATCAATGCACAAAAAGAAAATTTCCGAAAAGGAATACGGATCATTGGATTTGTAACAAGTCCTTCACCTTTGCTCTACCGGCCACCTGTAATTGAATGCAAGTAGTCAATCAGATGTTTAAGCCCGCTAAACATGGAAGGATTTGAATAAACTGTAGAATAATGATAAGTAGTTTATCTATACTCACCCATGAAAAAAGTGCTGAGAGACCAACACCCACACCAATCCAAAAGAGAGGTGTTCCCCTATTTTGAGAAAAGTGGAAAAATATAAGTAACGAGGAAAGAAAAATTCAAGATAGCATGTAAATGACCGCACAAAAACCAAAACCCATATTTCCGGTGATAAACATGTACCTAATGATCAAAATCAATTAAAGCAGAAAACAAATGTGTATAGATTATTACACTTGAGAAGAAGATGGAGGCACAGAAGCCTGCGGATTTACACCAACTGAGGATGTTTGCTGGCTACCTGAAGCAATGCTAGCAAAACAGTCCCTTGCAACTTTCTCAGAAACTATAAACAATTAAAGCAGAAGTATAAAGAGTGTCAAAAGGTAGAAAATCATAAGAAAAATGGAATATTGGTGTAAGTGATGGCAATAGTGTAAAACATGCGTGGAAGCCCTGGACAGACATTGAAGGGTTACATTTAAGTTAAAATTTCAAAGCAAATTGGTCTTTACTAATCTTGGACGTTGTTAAAGTTTAAATAAATCCTGGCTTTGTAGTTAAATAGCAGCTCTCCTCTGATCCTTAACTGTCTAAAAGATTGCTTTGTCTCTAGAGCCCTTCCAAAATTTCTAAGATCATAAGACGCAATTACAGAGTTTCCATTCTAGTGACACTAGGCCATGAGAAAATATTCCTAAGGAACATGGACCAAAATAGAGCACTAAACCTCTTCCACCAGTTTCCAGACTATTACAACCAAAAACAAAGCTTTTAATGGAATTTCTAAACTTTTCTGCTAATTACTAAGCATTCAAATTGCATTCCTTTACCCGCAGAACAAACCTGCAACACCTCGCCTAATTTCTTCAGGCAATAACCTACCCAACTAAAACCACAACGGACTTCAATTTTAAAAATGATAGACGATAATACCGCAAGCCTGTCACTAGCACACGAGGGAAAGGGAGCGCGGAAGGATTACCTATAGTTTTGGTGGCGTTGGGAGCGTGGAGCGAAGAGAAAACCCTAAATGAAGGAGTGGGATTGAGGCGTGGGCGGTTTTTCCGTAGTAGATTGGGAAGAGTCCCGCAGACTAAGCTGGTGGGTTTGGAGGAAAGGCCGATGACAACTTTTGGAGAGGAAACGAGGCCGAGATTCTCCATAACCCTGCAACTTAATTGGAAGGATGAGTTTATCGGTAGAAGCGCGGAGTGAGTGTGTGTTCAGAATAGTAGAGGAGGTAGAAGAAAGAGAGACTAGAGTAGAGAAACACAAAGTCAGTGAGAGCTGTGGGAGTTTTTAAAGGCCCAAATCTTGCGACTAGCGCTCTTACTTACACTCACTCGGCCTGCTACGCCCCTATTCATTCCAATTTGATTGTGTAATTTTGATAAAGTGCATAAATTAAAATTGATCTAGACTTAACTCTATTTTTTATTTTTAGTCTTGTTACAAAATATTCATCAAAATTAGTTTTATACAAAAGATTAATTTTTTTTTTTATCTGCAGTTAAAATTTTAAACAAAATATATTAATGTAGCTAAGACTGCATTTGATTCGAATCGAACACAATTGTATTTAAACAGTCAACAAGTCCGGTTTATATCCATATTCAAACACAATTGTATATCTATCAATACACTTGTGTTTAAACATACAACTCTTTGTATCAGTTAACGTGTCGAAACACCGCCGCATTTTCAACGGTACGTTCTTGTTTGTACATACAATATCCTGTATTAATAAATGTCTCGAAAAACGACCGTGTTTGGTAATTAGCCCATTTTGGGCTTGCCGCTGAAACACAATCATGTTTATATAACACACGGCATATTTCAATTAATACAACACCAATAAATATTGGATTATTACTACGTTGAAATTATTTGATTATAATATAATTATAATTACTTCAACACACTAACTACAAGTATTAAATTAATAAAATAACATACTTATATTAAAAAGACATAATATTGTAGAAGTCTGTTCAAGAGTGTCACGTTGTGAAAACTAATGACACATTACGTCAACTATATATACAAACAAAACAATGAAAATTATATTTCATCACGTCATAAACAAAAAAAAAAAAAAACAATGAAAATTATATTTCATCAATTCGGTCGGACATGTCGTATCCACTAAATAAAGTATCCATGTCGATGATATCATCACCTTCTTTTCCTACTTAGGGATGGTTCCGTACCGTATGCCGTACCTAAATGGTCATACTGTATACCGTACCGAATTATTCGAATACTAAATCGGTACGGTACTGATATTTACCGATTACATATATACCTGTTATACGGAAATTTATCATAAAAAAAAAATTAAAAGTTTTTCCTAAACAATAAATAAACAAATATAATTAATCAATACAATCATATAACTTTAAAAAAAAAAAAAAAAAAAAAAGCAAAATATCTATCAAACATCATAAATCAATTCATCCCTACAATCTCATTCGGCCATTCCAAAAACAATCAACAATCCATTCCAAACAACACAAATCAATCTGGTTCGGTCATTCTATATAAAATCCACATTTAACCATAATCAAATATCTGGAAAAAAAAAATCAAAATAAAACATCTTCAAAAGCTCAAAAATTTTAATATTATGAGTATTTGACCATAATTTATTTCAATCACCTCAAAATTCTCCAACTCCAAATATATCCTAAAACATACATATGCCTTAAAATTTTATGGCTACATAAAATTACATTAATACCCTTTATCCAATAATTTATTTTCTTCCTCACACTACAAAAAAAAAAGTAGTATATTTGTAACGGAATTCCGTTCCTAAAGTTCACGTAGCTAACGTAATTCCATCTCTAATTCCGTCTCTAATATCATTAGTAATGAAAAAAGTGAATTTAGGAACGAAAAAACCTCGTTACAAAATTAATAATTTCTTGTAGTGTCACTCTTTCCTTAAAAACTAAATTAATATAATTATTTATTTTGTTATAAATATTTCATTCAATATTATTAACTTTATTAATTCTATTATATAACAGTATTAAATTTTGTTGATGTAATTTTTCAACAAAAATAAAGTAAAATTCAAAGATATAGAAAATATCCTTAAACTTGATTAATTAGTGCCTGAGATTAGGAATCTCTAAACACTGTATGGTACAGAAAATAAACTGGAAAATAAAAGACTGAAATTTAAAGTGGTGATCCCCAAATCTGACTTTGCTTTGTTGAAGTTGATTGAAGATCCCTTGCCAAATGATGATCCAAATCCTTAAATATTCCCTGGGAAACCGTACTGAAAACCGTCACCCGAACGGTTACAACGTCTCCTTCTCAACCGTCTTCCAACCTTTCTTATGCTGACACGTGTCCCCAGCAGACCAAAAATTCCCTATATTTCACTCCTTGAGCCGACCACAGACCTTCCGCTCTTTTGGCCCGACTGCCAATCTACAATAGTATGGGTCCGACCGCCAATCCTCCCGACTTGCGAACCATCTGGCTTGAGGTCTTTCCGCCTTGAGGACTTCCCGACCTGAAAACCTTCCGACTTGAGGTCTTTCCGCCTTGAGGACTTCCCGACCTGAAAACCTTCCGACTTGAGGTCTTTCCGTCTTGAGGACCTCCCGACCTGAAAACCTTCCGACTTGAGGTCTTTCCGTCTTGAGGACTTCCCGACCTGAAAACCTTCCGACTTGAGGTCCTTCCGTCTTGAGGACCTACCGACCTGAGGTCCGTCCGTCCTAATGACTTTCCGTCTTGAAGACCTACCGACCTGAAGACCTTCCGACCTGAGGTCCTTCCGTCTTGAGGACCTACCGACCTGAGGTCCTTCCGTCCTAATGACTTTCCGTCTTAAGGACCTACTGACCTGAAGACCTTCCGACCTGAGGTCTTTCCGTCCTGAGGACCTACCGACCTGAAGTCCTTCCGTCCTGAGGACCTACCGACCTGAGAACCTTCCGTCCTGTATTTTCCTTAGAAATAAATAAATAAATTTATTTTCCTTGATTTCCTCACGGTGTCCTTCAGCCAGTTCAATCAACCCTATTGCCAGGCCCATTCTTCTTTTTTACCTTGGGCTTTTAACCTAATTCTAAATTTCGTACGTAACAACTTGCCCGCCGCCAAGGGACTTTCAAACGCCATTTAACAATCAATGTTTGGAAGTTCATAAATCACTACCCTCTTGAAAAACTCCCTTAGCAACTGCACCAGTTACTGAAACACGCCTGATAAACTTCCATCTTCGCAATACAAGCCTGTGTGAATCACAATCCCAAAACATTCTAACTATGGCGAATCAATACATGCCTGCCCTTCCTTTCGACGGAACCCTTCCAGAAGGTCCATTTTCAGCCTCGAAAGTACTAACTCCGACGATCCGTCCATATTGCACTACTCCTGAAGATTCATATCACGAAAGCTCTGGTTGATGATGCCATTCAGAAAAAGGAGGCAGAATTGCGGGAGCTGAGGAAAGAACAGTCTACCCTGGATAAGCAAATTACCAATGAACAGCATCTGCTTGAGAAGTATACCAAAAATGAGGCTGAATTGGATCAAGAGCTGAAAACCCAAGCCCGATCCCAATTCATCAGAAGATATCAGACGGCTGCCATTACCAGAAGGCTATCCAGGGATGAAAACAAATGGACACAAATAAAAACTGCCCTAGGGGCACTGTTGTAATATTTCCCCCTTTGTAACAACAACTGACTTAGTAATCCATTTTTTTCTTTCTTCTCTCAAAACAAGGATCACCTTTCAATTCCCAACTTTATAGGAAACGAACCAAACTCCTTCTTTAAAAGAACACTGTTTCTCACATTTTAAGAAACATATTCCCAAGCATATTTTAAAAATCAAAACACTGAAAGTGTGAACAAACATGGCGAATGACCGACCTCATGTTCCATCAAGCAACTGGGAGGGTGTTCTTCAACCCTTCTTTGTAGGTAATCACCCTATTGGAGGCCATGCAGAAGACTTGTTATATATACTCAAGCAACTAGACTTCAAATTCCGATTCTCCCAACGAGGTAGAAGAACTATTCATCGCGTCATCCTCCTGATGGAAAAAGTCATTGAGGGGTATGAACCTCTTCATGACATCCTCAGCCGCATCCCTGATCTCCATCATCACATGGAAATGATTGAAAATCATGCAGCAACCATACTTCCAGACCTTGGTTGGGATAACATATTTTCCAATCAACGAAAAGTCTTTTCAAGATTGCGTACCATTGTTGACCGTGAACATCAAGCCCTAACAGACATGCAAGCACGTACCCATCAAGATCTAGATGACATGCAAAGCCAATGGGAAAGGTACCGACCAGACTTGGAAGATCTTATTGAAGAAGAACCAGAGCTAATATCCACTCACTGGGATGAAAAGTCTGATTCAGAGACAGAAAATTTCTCACAACTACACGATGACTAACAGAAATGAACCTTCCAGTAGGTTCGAACCCCCATAAATGGGTTCTGAATAATATGTGGTTTCAGGCAGTTTTGTTATCTGAAAAGGCAGGATAATACCTCTTCAGATATTTAGCATTAATACAATCATGTACTCTTCTACCTTCATGATTTACAATAATGAACGCGCCATTTCCAATATCTTTTTGAACAATGTATGGTCCTTCCCAATTCGGTGACCACTTTCCCAATTGATCGGTTTTCTTATATGTAGGAAGAATGGTCTTCCAGACTAGGTCTCCTTTTTGGAATGTCCTGTGAAGAACTTTCTTTCCATAACTCCTTGCTCTGATTTCACTCTGTTTCACACTTCGATCTATTGCATGGAGACGGTTAACATCCAAATCTTCTAACTGCTGCAACATAATTTGTTGGTATTCCTTTGTAAGATCACTATCAGTAAATTCTGTTCGGCCAGATGACACTCGAATTTCGGCTGGTAAAACAGCATCTTGGCCAAACGTAAGTTGGTAAGGTGAGAACCCTGTGGCCGTATTTCTGGCATTTCTATGTGCCCATAAAGCCTGAGACAATAACAAATGCCACTTTCTTGGGTTCCCTTCAATCATCTTCTTTATAATCCCAATGATAATCTTATTTGCTGCTTCCGCCTGTCCATTGGCTTGGGGATAATATGGTGAAGAATGATGTAACCGAACACCGAATTCTGCCAAGAAATTAGAGAACTTTTCCCCTGTAAAGACCAAGCCTTGGTCGGTTGTTATAGACTGAGGAATACCATATCTGTAAATAATTTGGTTCAAAACGAAGTCTATCACTTCTTTCTGATCCACATTTTTCA